ATGTTTTCACATTTTGGAGTATTTGCATATACATAAGACATCCTGAAGCAATCATGTTTCCTATAGCCTGGAAAAATGCTTTTAGTGCCTTTGTATTTTGCTCGAGACCCATCAGAGGTCAGCTATGGAGTTGTCCACTTGCAGCACCACATCTGTGGGCACAAAGTTTGAGATTCCAGAGTATTCTGGGTTCGGCATTAGTGATGCTCCACCAGTGTAATTGTTACAAATGTATACTAACTGCCAGTGGTCACCAACAAACGTCTATGCCCAGGCCTAAAAGTTACTACACTATCGAGGTCAGATTCCAGAATGATTCTTCTACATGAACAGTAATATCTTCCATAAAGTCCAAAGGAATCTTATGGGGTCCTTGCAAAGCTGTGTAATTTCCCAAATGACTTTTTTTTTTTTTGTTTGTTTGTTTGTTTTGTTTTGTTTGTTTTCAGAGCCTGCTCATCCCTTCACTCTCTTTTCAGTCGTTTGAGCTTTTGCAATATTTTCTTGACGTTTTTGTTTCTTCTTTTGTTCCTTCTCCCGGGCTTCAATCATCTTGGCCAATTTCCAGGACAAGACCGTGCTTGCTAGGAACAGTGGAGTAAGGGCCAAAATAACGGTTGTAAGGAAACCATAGGGGTCCTTTGCAACCCATTCCACTACATATTCCGCCCAAGCCTTTACATCAAACATCTCGGTAGTGGTCCTAAGAAAACTTATGCTTGAGCAGCGATCTCTAACTGTCCCCGGAGCCAGTCAACTTCAGGTGACCCCTGGCTGGCAGTTGTCTTCTTTGGTTTGAAGGCACGCTCTTCAGAAGTTTACATTCCCTTCTTCCCCAGACAGCGCGGTGGCGCAGGAGCCTCGCGCGTCCCTGTCCCCCGGTTCCCGGGGTTGCTCAGCGCCAGCCGCGCAGTCCCCCCGGGACACAGCCCCCCAACTTCGCGCCCCGACCCCCGCTCCGCCTATATTTTTGTTTTTGTTGTTGTTGTGAGGGAAAGGAGAAAAGGAAAAAGTGGGAAAATACACACACACACACACACACACACACA